CCAATATGGCCCATAATATTGAAATAAATGGAAGTGGATCCAATTAGAGCCCATTTAAGAGTTCTAAGCCCAAGATAGTCAAACTGGAAGCTTATTGGTCCATTGGGCCCAATAAGGAAGTCCTAGTCTAAAATGGACTTAAACAAGAACTTCTAGGGTTTCCAATTGCTTGTTGACTATTTGCAATGCTTGTGTGAGGTGTTTGATTGAAATTCTGTTGTCATAAAGTAAGCATCATGCATGCTTCCATGTTTTTGATTCATAGTTGACATAAGTGTTGTAGTTACAAGGCACAAAATTTTCTAGTTGTGGCACTTTGGGTAGCAAAGGTATACATTTAGTCATTTATTGAATTACAGAAATCACTAGTAAACTATAATAGGTATAGTTTAGGAGAACACTATCATATACAAATACTATAACAGAGAATACTATAACAGAGAATACTATAACAAAGAATACTAAACAGAGCATACTATACAGAGCGTACTATATAAAGAATACTATACAAAGAATACTATACATAGAATACTATTACTATAACAAGTATACTATAACAAGGTTCAGAAATAATATAATGTGAGATAATACTTCATGACACATCGGCCATTTTGTTGTGTCACGTTTTGTAACCAAAATCTTCTGGAGGGAGAGTGTGAGTTTGCGTATAGATCTATACTGGATTGACTATCCTACACCTTTACTATTCGCTACAGTGGGATTTGCAAGTCTACGGGTGCCAAATGTCATTTCTTCCAACATTTTTCATCCTCGTACTATAGTCAGTTTAATATGGTAACAATCTTATCACATTTTACCGTAATTAAACCATTGGTTTTAAGGTAGTTATTACTTTAGTAGTTAATATAAATTATACTTGAGTACACATACATTTTCCCATTATATTCAAATTGTGATCTTCTCACATAAAGGGTAATATAAAACTATATTTTTGGTAATGATAGTCATATTTGGGAAAAGCATTCACTTTTACAGAGAAACAAACATACAAAACAGTTGGGTCTTGGTAGAAGACTACTTTTTATACTAGTAGAAAATATAGGATTTTCTAGTAGTTTTCAAACATATACAAACATTTACATTATACATTTACAAACATTGTCATCGAACTTATACAAACATTGACACTAAATACTTATGAACTCACCACCTTAAATGATGATCTACGCTTGCAAAATAACTTGTAGTCTCAGGTCATCAATAGACAGGTACTGATGGCAGGTTTTGAGAAGACAGAGCTCTGTCAAGACTCATCTTTTATTTTGGTTATTCATTTGTGGTGTCTTATTACTATTTAAAGAAAAAACTTGTATGAAATTATACTATTAATGCAATGGATGATGTTGTTTCTTATTTACTACTGTTATGATACTATACATGACGTCCTCCTTCCCGGAACGTTTCCACCGTTCAGGTTTTGGGGTGTGAAAGATTGTTATCAGAGCATTGTTTATAGTGAATCGAGTATATCAACCCATAAAAGATATACAAACTATAAACAAAACAGGATTAAAATAATCTGACCAAGAGTTTATACTTTTAAATAATAAAATATTTAACTAAGTATAGATACCTACATTCATACTATAATCAGTGTCACTAGAACATAACAAAAGTATTTCGATTGTTGAATATCACAAGTAGGATTGGGGATGAATGGTCAGTTATGGGAATGGCATAGTCTGATCAACTATGTTGATCCTAGAAGTGATTAGCATATGCCCATGGATGGTTGTGATGTGGCAACAAGTCTATAAACTTATCAACACTACTACCATGAGAACATTAGAACAAAAACATAAACTTAAAATACTATAGGAGTATTTTGTGTTCCTATAATTACTTATCTGAGAACTAAAAAGGTCTTTACTAGTAGGTCAATAGTTGCTAAGTGGATACACTAAGGTTATATGAAATTAAGGTGTCATACACTTAGAATTTTTGGTATTTGCTTTACTTCCTCTTCCTTGTTTGGTTGTGGATTTAGAGTTAGGGTTACCTATTCGAAGGTCTATCCTGTTTTAATTTCATATAACTGGTATGCACTATGCAAGTATTGATATAACTGGTAAGGATCATCTTATAATTATCTTAAATAGTACGTCTATTTATATTAGATTCTTATACCCCTTTTCTTGCGTAGATATCATGGCTGGATTCCTTCCTCATGGCGAACCGTACTTCCTAAACAAAGGCAATGCTAGATGGCTTGAAGAAGAGCCAGAAGATGATCATCCAATACCTTTGGATGATCACCATGATGAAGGCTTTTCAGATGGTTCTGACTCTGAACCTGAAGTCAACAACCTACCCCAAGAGGTTCAAGTCCTAACTCTTAACCCCTGACCAGCATTTCAAGGTCCCACACCCTTGTGGGCGACAAACTTGAATCGTTAGAGTGATGAATAGGGTCAACCTTTACCCTAAAATGGGGACCAAAGCTTTTACAATGTAAGCAAGGGAGGCTCAGCTGACCGAGTCCTGCCGATCATGGTTTGTAGGATTTCTCAGAATGTTGAGCAAGGTCGGGTAGCTATTGACCGAGTCATGGATATTGATGCCAATTCGGGCGTTAACATGGTCCGTATTATCCATCTTGAAGAATCTATGGAAAGGACTATGAGAGTCAATGAGACTCAGCAACAGGAACTAGTTGCATCCCGAGCTGAAGTCTTAGAACATTGAGTGCATCAGAGAGCTCATGAGTAACATCTTCAGGACATAGTTCAGGACATAGTTCGTCAACTGGCCATACACCTTGGCCGCATAACGACAAAACTTGCACATTTTGGCCTTACACTCCATTGTGTGGCCATATTACCCCTTATATGCAATCTTATATGATTGTAACACTTCAATATGAGTGTTTCCTAGTCCTTAAGGTGGTTCTATATCATAAATTAGTTGTTATATACGCTAATTTTATACATATATGAGTCATTATATGCTTAATAGGATCTGTTTTAGCTTGAGTCTCCACTTGACACTCAACTTCCTATATTGATCTTGCATTTGAGTTACTCACTGCAGGTGAGTTCATACCCCTTAACTTATCTTTTAAATGATTTTAAATGCTTTTATGGGGGGGGGGGGGGGGGAATACAAGTAGAAAAATTGTTAGTTATATAATCAATCACATGTCATTTATAATTGTGTTTCAAACAAAGGATTTCATATACTTCAAACTGTGTTATCAAACAAACTACTTTTAAATCATTTTATAAATTGACATCATGTCATTATTATTTATTGTTCAAAACTATTTAAATGTATTCATCTTTTAAACATATATATTGTCAAAAGCATGTGTATATATGTATAGTTATATAAATAGTGTTTAAAGGACTTAGGACTGCTAACTCGCTTTATTTCCTTTTCCTTGTTTGGATGTGGACTTAGGGTATCGATTATTTGTCCAAAGGTCGTCTAAATATTAGATATATATTATTTATACATATGTAGATATAAAAGTACTATCAATCAGTTCAGTACCTTTGGGTAGCAAAGGCATACATTTAGTCAATTATTCAATTACAGAAATCACTAGTAAACTATACAAAGCATACTATATAGAGAATACCATACATATAATACTATTACTATAACACGTATACTATAACAAGGTTCAAAAATAACATAATGTGAGATACTACTTCATGACACAACAACCATTTCGTTGTGTCACGTTTTGTAACTAGAATCTCCTAGAGGGAGAGCGTGAGTTTCCCTGTAGATCTATACTGGATTGACTATCCTACACCTTTGCTATTCGCTATAGTGGGATTTTCAAGTCTACAAGTGCCGAATTTCATTTCTTCCGACGTCTTTCATCATTGTATCATAGTCAGTTTAATATGGTAACAATCATATCACATTTTGCCTTAATTAAACCATTGGTTTTAAGGTAGTTATTACTTCAATAGTTAATAGAAATAATACAGATCTTCTCACATAAAGGGTAATATAAAACTATATTTTTGGTAATGATAGTCATATTTGGGAAAAGCATTCACTTTTACAGAGAAACAAACATACAAAACAGTCAGGTCTTGGTTAAAGACTAATTTTTATACTAGTAGAAAATATAGGATTTTCTAGGAGTTTTCAAGCATATAAAAACATTTACATTATACATTTACAAACATTTTCATCGAACTTATACAAACATTGACACTAAATACTTATGAACTCACCAGCTTAAATGCTGATCTACGATTTGAAAATAACTTGTATTCTCAGGTCGTCAGTAGAAATGTACTGATGGCAGGTTTTGAGAAGATGGAGCTCAGTCAAGACTCGTCTTTTATTTTGGTTATTCATTTTTGGTGTCTTATTACTATTTAAAGAACACAATTGTATGAAATTATACTATTAATGCAATGGATGTTGTTGTTGCTTATTTACTACTTTGCATTGTTATGATACTATACATGACGTCCTCCACCCTGGAATGTTTCCGCTGTTCAGGTTTTGGGGTGTGACAGCACACAACTCCCCTTTCCATATCTCTATAAGGAAACAACCATCTAAACCTATTATCTACCTACATCCCTCTTTCCACCCTTTCTTTAATGCATCAAAGCAAACATAGAACTTACTAAAGTGGTTCTTACCATCTAGCATATGATTTACATCAAGCTTTACAATGCTACCTGGATTTTATCTCCTACTCTCTTTTCCATATGATCACAAATTTTCATAATGTTCAACTAGGGCACCATCTATTAAGGGGAGTGAATAGTTCTTAGCGCTCCTACATTGACCAACACTTACATGAATACCAAACTTCTGTGACACAACTGTTCTAAGCTTTCTAACACTCATATTTTGTCTAAGTAAGAACTCCCTTGCATAATCACTCCCTATCCAAGCATAAGTGACCATGGACTGTAACTTGTAGTCCCTTGGACATTTGTGATCTGTCTTTAAAGACTTAAATTGGAAGCTTGATTCATCACTCATCTAATATGCCGACAACCTCAATGTGCACCCTTGCAACACTTAACCAACAATCTTTTACTATCATTTTTCTCAAAGCAAATTTGGTACCCATTGGCAACAAAATAGTTGCATAACATAGATTTTAACTGAGCTGGATCTTTGAATCTTATACCAAGTAGTAGGTACTGTTTTTTCCATGTAGTTAACTCATTAAAAATCAAATGTTGTTGAGTTAAATTTGCCTCCTCTTCACCCCCATCAACATCGTCATCTATTTTGTTATCATTTCCTTTTTCCTCTTCACCGTATAATTCAAACAAATAATCATCACCCTTTGTTTTGTTCATAGTGGCTTCATCCTCATTAAACTCCACCTCCACATCTCTAAGGTTTTCAATTTCATCTTCATTTTCACCACCATCAATGCATGAATCATCTCCATCTTTTTCTTCTTCTATCTCAGAGAAAAACAAGTCCTCTATTCCTTGACAATCATGGTCCACATAAAGGGAAATTATACCATTAGTCCCATAAGGATCAAAAATGAAAGATGCATAGTCTTCATCATTATAAATAGCAGATAACCCAAATAATAAGGGTTTACTTGACTCACAGTAGTATAACTTCTTTATACTTTCTTGGATGTACCGTTCGAGAAAGTTGTTACATTCAGAGTATGTCATTCCAGAAAAATCATGATCATTGAATGTAAATTTCATACCATGTTTATACGAGAAAGGATTTAAAAGATACACACCTTTGAAGTTGAGCTCCACTATAGGTTAGCGTCCATTAGTGTAGCACTCGGTTCCTGGTATGTAATTTATTTTGTTTTATTTTGCATCTTTGGCCTGGGACTCGGCGAGTTGAAGGCCCAACTCGTCGAGTAGGAGTGGTTTTGGACACGAGACTTAAGTGATGGACTCGTCGAGTCGGCGACCAGACTCGACGAGTAGGCTCTGACTGGACAAAACCCTAATCTGAGGGTTTGCACCCTATTTAATCATCTCTTTCAGCCACCACTCGTCCCTAATGCTCCCAAAGACTCTCCATAGCAAACTCTAAGTGTTTTGGTGCAAGAACTAAGGATTTTGCGTGATTTTTGTGGGTTTTGACCTCAAGGAAGAAGGAAGAGCATAGAAGGATCAAGAGGAGGCTGAAGGATTCGAGTTTGGTTCATCATTTGCAGTCTTTGAAAGGTATAAAGTCTGTACCTTGCTTGCTTGTTTGTTAGATCCCTTTTTGGGGAATATTTAGGGCTTTTAAGCCATATGAGGTGACCAACCATTATCTGTAAACATGGTTGGGGGTCAATAATTTGGATCTAGCACTTGCGAAGAGTCACAAGATAGATGTGGGTTGCTTTTGCACCTAAGGAAGGCCCCATGCAACAAAAGAGCCATTTTAGAGCCTTTTTGGCTTGAAAGTCCCATGCATGCACGTAAAGTTTGTAACTTTACGTGATAGATCGAGCTTAGGAGCTTGGATCTATCATTTGGATAAGTGGTGTACATCAGAAATCGAGGATTTAGGGTGTGGATGTTATCGACTCGGCGAGTCCGTTCTTGGTATTCGACGAGTCCAAGGCTTTGAGTCCCATATCTGTTGAGGGTCAAAATAACTCAGTTGGGTGTTAGAAGGGTTGTAACAGAACAGATTGAGTGACCCAGCGCAATAGACTTAGTTTTAGACTTGGAGTTCATGGGACTCGACGGGTGCTAGAACAGACTCGGTGAGTCCAAGTCAATCTTCTTATGTATGAAGATGAATTAGAAGAGTTGTTCATATGACTGGGCGAGTCAAGGTCAGGACTTGTTCATCAGATGAAGATGAACTCGACGAGTTGTTCATATAACTCGGCGAGTCGGATGAAGGTTCATTGATGTTCGTAAAGAAGGGGATCTCATCGAGTCGTTGCCAAACTCGATGAGTCGAGTCACAGATAAGAACGAGTAAAGGGTTGGGACTCGACGAGTTGATGACCCAACTCGGCGAGTCGGGTCAACTAGAAGTTGATTTTGACTTGGACTTGGTTGGGGGTAAAATAGTTGTTTTACCCTAAGAGTAGATATCAGATTTTGACTGAGTGTTTAGTAAGGATTATAGCTGGAGGATTTCCGGAGCAGCAGCAGACAGAGGTTTCCCGCACAGATTATCAGCAACTACTCGTACGCGATGTGTTACCTTCCAGTAGAAGTGGGTCTAAGGCCACAATGCTGACCCACCAAAGAGGAATATTTAGGAGATGATTGTCTTTGTGATAATTATCTTGGTCTTGTTATGTGCCTTGGTCATGAGATTTATCTGTATGATATGCTATGTATATAGTATGGATCAGTTCCCCGATAGTGGTCCTTAGGACCGAAGGGTAGGTTAGTACCCGGATAAGCCTGATTGTATGTTTATATCTTGATGTTGTATGGTAGTGGTAGGGGTGGAATAGTCCCCAGTTACCGGTTAAAAGATACCGACGATGGTTACCGATTGAAAGATACAGATAATGATTACCGGTTGAAAGATACTGATGGAAGTTACCGGTTGAAAAATACCGACGATGATTACCGGTTGAAAGATGCCGATGATGATTACCAGTTGAAAGATACTGTTGATGTTGTATGGTATGTGGTATGAAGGGGAAACTCAGTAAGCTTTGTGCTTATGGTTTCTGTTTTGGTTTCAGATACCTCTTCGTCTAAGGGGAAGGAGTCAGCGGCGTAGCATCGTATCACACACACACACACACATGATAACGTATCGGACTTTCTGGGATTGTACTCTGATTTTCATTATTTTTGATGTCATGGTTTGGGACACAACATTATGATTTTGTAATGTCTTGTTTTACTGACAATGTTATGGTAAAATGTTTTAAAAAACATTAATTCAAAAATGAAATTTTCGGGCTTAAATTTTAGAATGTTACAATTAGGGTTTGGCGTCGAGGATGACATTGTAGGTTTGTTGCTTGATTGTCGACTTCAATCGGAGAAAACGTGTTGGGACCCTAGTTTTTTTTTTTTTTTTTTCATTCTTGGTCACTAAGAATGAGAAAAATTAAGAAAGAAGAAGAGTGTAGTGGTGCCTGAATAAATGTGATTATTTTCATTTCGATTTCATATGTGGATAAGGTAAGATAATAAATCTTATTTAATGTAATGCCACATAAGAAATACAACTGGTTGTTCCGTTTACCGTACGAATAATGGTGTAACTCACTGGTATTTACTAATATTAAGGACCAATCTAGCACAAAAAAAAAAAATGAGTGATTAAATGTACAAATTACCAAAACATTGTTATGCTACTAAACTAAGTTTACTAAAAAATCAACGTTAACTTAAATATTAACACTTAACAAAATATTATACTAAAATTTACCTACTAGACTATTATTTACCAAGAAATCAACGTTAACAAAACATCAATATAAACAAAAGTTGCAAACTATCAAATTTTTTCACATAAACCAAACTACAAATTAATAAACCAACATAAACCAAATTTGTCAAATTAATATGTGTCCATCCATCTTTATACATATAACACTTTAAAATAAAATAAGCTAGTTTTAATTGCGTAGGATGTAATCATGGTCCGATGGAAATGAGGAAGCTATTTCCTCTCTTTATTATGGAGCAGTCACCATTCAACAACGTTCAGTAGTACTCTTGGTCGGACACCATATTTGACCAATACTATATATTAAGATATCAAGCCACATTTTCTTAATTGATGAGTTATAATTGTTTTAAAACCTCTTCTGCTGATAAGAAAATGACCACCGCTTTTGATCATAACTTATGGTCAAATGCATTATTTATACCGGACACCACTAGCTCAGATGTGATTAAAACCGATCATGGAAACCAGTCAAATGTGATGATAAATCATCATGGAAACCAGTCAAATGTGATGAAAAATCATATGGCTTCTCAAGTTGATGAAGATGATGACATAATGGGAAAACCATGGTTGTTGGAAGGCGGCAACGTGGTGGTGGAGTCACCAGAAGCGGTGGGTTCCGGTTGTGATACAAAGATCGAGATGAAAGCCAACAACCCGAAAATAGCATTCCAAACAAGGAGCCAAGTAGACATTCTTGATGATGGTTATAAATGGCGAAAATACGGGCAAAAAATTGTTAAAAACAACAAATTTGCCAGGTTAATTTCTTTCCATCCCTTATGCAAAATATATTTCCTAGAAATTGGAGAAATTATATCAAAGTTGTTGAAATATTTGTCTTTGGTTTAAGTTTACTGGATGATATACAAATACGACATTTGAGCACCAAAATAATTTAGTAATAAACTTTAGCATACAGAATGACTAAATGATGAGTAGCAAATGTTTTCAAAAGAACGAATATTATTTTAACTTCGGTATTTGTAAATTATTTTTAACTGTTTTCTTGTCGGAATAAAAAAAGCAAATATATCACGATATGTGAACTGAATTTCAATGTGTATATTATTTTGTAGCGAAACTATAATGACATGATATCCATTATAGTTATACAAATTAGTGTATGTATCGATAATTTGGAACATAATAAAAAATATATAGTCGAAAAATCGATGAGAATTTGATTTCTTACAAATATAATAAAACCAAACATTAGAATCAGTAATTTCTGCTCAAGCTTTATATCTATTATCTAATCAAGCAAATTGATAAACATACTATAGATATGTTTGGCAATGAGTGTTTTTGACATGTTTTAGATTTCAGTTTTTAAGAAAAATTATGTTTCAAATAAAATTTCGTTTGTGAATACAAACATTTTTAGGTTAAATAAAACTCTAAATTTAGAAGCTATTTCATTTAACGTTTAAGAAAAAAACAATTAAAATTTTTTATTTAATTTCCAAAATTATCTTTAAAAGTATATTTTTTTAGTTAATTTTCATTTTATATAATTTTATATATTTCAAAAGTTTTCAAATATTTTTGTTAAACACTTATATAACAAAATAAAAACTACAATTTTCAGCTACTTGTTACCTATTGCTAGTTTTTGGCTAATTATTCCATACATTATATATATATATATATATATATATATATATATATATATATATATATATATATATATATATATATATATATATATATATATATATAGGGTTATGTTAATGTGATATGATCTAATTTTGTGAGATTGTAAAACGCAATTATAGCCATTCATTTAGTAGATAAAACAAAAAAAATATTTTTAAAATGCAAAATAACTAAAAATTTTCGAATTTTTTTTTCAAATATTATTTTCGGAATTTATATTTTTAAAAAAATTAAAAATAAAAAAAGTACAAATATATATATATATATATATATATATATATATATATATATATATATATATATATACTTTTTTTACATACTCTAGTAAAATAAATAGAATATTTTAAATGTCTAAGAAATCTAGTATTATATTCTAACATTCTAAAAATAACATTAAAATATTTACAGTGTAATATTCTATTTGAATATTTCACGTATTTTAAAAAAATGGTAATTTTTATTTTAATTTTTTAGGTAATTAAACTTCCGAAAATAATAATCAAAAAAAGAATTATTGGATTTTTTCTTTTATTTTGCATTTTAAAATTAAATTTAGATTTGGGCTTACAGTTTCATAAAATTAACATGGTTTTAAATGAATTTGAATATATATATATATATATATATATATATATATATATATATATATATATATATTAAACATAAGTGATCCTTCAATAAATTGTTCTCATCATATTTCACACATTAATAATTTATAATGTTTAAAAAGAATTTTTTGTTTAGTTACTCCAGTCAACCTTTTTTCACATGTTACCTTAATATTCTAATTTACCATTTATATGAATATATGTTTGTTAATGTGTAGGAATTATTACAAGTGCAATTACAAAGGATGCAACGTGAAGAAGCAAGTTCAAAGGCTATCAAAAGACGAAGGAGTTGTATGCACAACATATGAAGGCTTCCATGAACATACAATACCCATGCCTCCGTAAGATATTAATCATATCTCAAGTTAAAACATAGCCCGAAACCGAACTTTTACTTCTCATTTTATGTTGTCTATTTTGATGTGAGTTGTTTAGTTGTTTCTGTCTACACATTCTAAAAGCAAAAAACAAATCAAATTCCCTAGCAAGTAGTTAGGTTGTCTAACGTCTAAGTAACAACCGGTTGCTAGTATCTGTTGAAGAACAACTTATCAAGAATCTAATAAATGAAAACTGGTCCAAGATGATAGATGTTGATAATATTCTACATGACAGTGACTTGATGTCTTTAGCAACATTTTATTTCATCATTTCATGGTAGTCTACAAATATCTAGAGGATCTTGAAACATTGACCATATATATTACGGTTAAGATCCATTGATGATGTGAGTTTGTTTAATACGCCATGAGTTTGATTGTGGGATTAAACTTGACGTAGCTAAACTAGAAACTAAGAATATCCTAGTCGATCGAAAATCAATTGGGTCATCAATAAAAAACATAGCAGGACCACAAGTGTGATGCTTTACGATCAACCACAAGGATACCCATCAAAGTTATTCAATTGTATTCTTCACTTGTTTGTAGTTCCCGGAAACCACACGACAATGGTTGGAAATTAAATAAAAAGTCTTATCACATGTTCGTAATAACTAATAACATACTTTGGGTTGAAAATTTCGTATATATAAATATAATATCCAACAACTTTTCAGTTATGACGTAGATATCTAAATTTCCACTTAATTAGTAGTATATCCTACACCTTAGAGTTTACATATACAACACAATCGCTATTCGCTACTATGTTGTTTTTTTAAATGAATAAATTACAGCCGCTACTACAAAATGGGTTATATACCCGGTTAAAATACTTAATTGAACAACTACAAAGTCATATATTAAACATATTCTAGGAAAACGCTAAAATAAAAAAATCCACCAATTACAACACGTTTAAAAGCCAAGCATTCCGGGATACATTGGATTTGGAAGCTTTACATTTAAGTCAAAAAAATATATAGAAAAATCGACTCAAAAATGGAACTTTTTTTAATTTGTGCGCCATCAAAAGCCATGGAATTTTGAAATCTCCATAACATCGAACACCTCGCCAGGATAGTCGTTTACAACTTCTTTTTCTTTATGGTCGTTATTGGCCTATCATCAACCCATGACAACCACTCCTTAATTGAAGCCAAAATAGGAAAAACAAGCCCAAATCATCTAGCAACCAAACCCAGACTCAAAAACCACCACCTCACAAAGAAAACATGTTCGGTTGTTTCAGCAACTGTATCTCACATGGGACAAAGAATAGAATGGATCTTCAAACCTTTCTTAGAAAGGTAGAATCTAGTTGCCAACCTATCTACAAGAAAACACAACAAAAAAAAATATTAACCCGTATAGGAGCGATTTACACCATCTCGTTGGCAGATAATCCCCAATTAGAGTAACATTTTCGATGTGTCTCATAGTAACATTCATTGATAAATCCCCAATTGGATCCAAAGACCACAAAAAATGACCAGGTGTGTCATAAACTGCAATACATTCCATAACGTCTTGTAACTAAAGATACTATGACCTCGATGCACCTCCCTAATCCACTTCCAACACGACACACCATCAACCCACTTATCCCCAACCAAACAATCTTGTTCAGAATCAAGTTTAAAAAGCCAATCAAATGGATTCTTCAATGGTTGTTGACCTAACCACACATCCCATCACAAATATACACATTTTCCTTGACCAAGTCTTCTCTATAAAGCATCCGAAGGCACAATGTTAGACGAATCAAGTTGTCAGATAGCATTAACTATCTTAGCCCAAACACCTGCATAAGCTAGCCTCCTACACTAAGCAAAACCTCAATCATTTTCATGGATAGCCTTAATAAGTCTTACCTAACAAGAGTCTCCATCTTAAAGAAAATGCCAATGCCATTTTAGCAATAAAGCGTTCTTAAACGTTGATAAACTGAAACATCCTAAAAATTCATTAAAAAAATTTCACTTTTAAAAACATAAAGTCATACAATCTGATTCCAAAATCACTCATTGACAATTAAAATAAACATCAGAGTAAAAATCATAAGTAGTTAGTGTAGAAAACTCTGGGAGATGTAGTGTACTCATGCTAGACCCCTCCCTGTCGAACCGAAAGTACCTTAAACCATGAACATAAAATAGTAAGTACATAACTTAGTGAGTTCCCCAAAATACAACATACCATACATATCATTGGGCCTAGCCCGTATATTGGGCCCAACCTACAATGATGGGCCTAGTTCCTAATCAATAGGCCCAACCTAACAAACAAATTATCGTAGCTCGCTATACAATGGGCCTAGCCCAAGATACAGTAAGCCTAATCCACTCATGCAAATAGGCCCAACCCTACATGCATGCCCATGTGCCAAAGCTAAGATACAATATAAGAGTCACAAAGACATATATCATCCTACATAACACATTCCAGTGGGCCGGTATTTATTCCTTTGATCCACGGGTACAGTGAGGTGAGTCACCTCAATTCAAAGATAACCGAATCACACACACATTGCTAGTATAGGGTTCCTCACACTGAACTTATCCAAAATCAATCCTAATTAATAGTCGGGCCAATAACCTATAATAAATGGTTCAAACCATATTCTATATTACCATGGGTAAAAGACCTTTTACCCTTCCTACTATGGACCCAACTAACTGTAACGCCCGCAGATCCGGACTAGTCAATTTAGAGGCAATAAATATCGAAAATGACTTTTTGACAAAAGATTATTTAGAATAAATAATCCCAACTAAGTTATAGTATACGCCACAAGGGTTTCGTACATATAAAGAACGCCGAAATCCGAGTTATAACGAAGAAGTTATTACCCGTCGAACTTTTACGGAAAAACCGGCACGACACCGGGAATTGTAAAACGTGAATTTACGATAAAATACTTTGTAGCATTATCGATCTAAACAAAATTCATAGTATATGTTAAACTGAGAGCGTGCATAAAATAACGTCCAAATGTGACTTCGTACGAGGAAGTTACGATTTTTCTAAGATTTAACATAACAGCGCGCAACCCGAAATTCGAATTTTAGATCGGTCGATTTTCAGCCAAAATAATGTAAACGAGAAATGAAGATATTGTTAATAGGAGATAAAGAATAAAAAGACAGTAAAAAACGGAGCTCGTATGCGACATATATAGACGAAGTTTAGTCTCTACTTTTTGAGCGCGGCGAATTCGATACAGTTTTGTAAATCTAAGATAGAATGAGAATTAGCCAACATGATCTAAATGAAAGTTGTAGTACTCGTAAATAACAACGCGTGGAATATAAAGAACATCGAAAACGGAGCTCGTACGTTTAAAATATGGATGAAAATTAGTCTATACTCTTCAAGCACGACGAATTCGAATACAATTTTGTAAATCTAAGATAGAATGAGAATTAGCTGACGGGGTCTAAATGAAAGAACTAGTACTCGTAAATACCAACATGTGGATATAAATAACGTAGAAAATGGAGCTCGTACCCGGAAGATACGGACGATGCTTAAGGGCTACTCTACGATAAAATCCATATAAATAAGAGATGAACTCTTCATAATTTTTTCACACCATAAGCCTTTCTTTATCTCTCTAACTTCTCTCTATCCTCCCTAAACCCCTCCCAAGTCTAGGGAACCTCCCTAGCACAAGAAGGAAACCCTGGAGCGCCCAACGGCTCCAAGAAGAAGAGCTTACAGCTCGGAAACGCTGCTCCAGCGAAGCTCGGTTTTTTTTTTTTTAATAAAAACCCATTGTAAGTGAGTTACGCCTACACTATTTCTAATATAGCTTTTATTTAAAATATAGTAATGTTATTAGGACCTTATAATAATTATTTGAGCTATTATTATGAGTTAAATAAGTATCGTTATAATATCTTTTTAACCAATGACGAATAACCATTGCTAATCTACAAGAAATCTAGGAATCGAATACCATGTATGAATTCCTAACATACAAAAGTACTATGAAACACAATCAATATAACTCCACTTCGCAACCCAAACCAAACGAATCCCTTCTGATCCTGATTCATCTTTCTGATACCGGTGGAAAACAAAATACTTGACCATTTATTGTTGCTGAGAAGACCTTTCATTAGAAAAGAAGGGTGACTCCTATTACAAGTCTCATCCCCATGCCAAACAATACATGACTCATATCCCAGTATCCAAAGATTCACATATTCATTTTATCGGAGATCTTCCGATCCCCTGGTGACCTGCTACGTTGGCATGCAAAATCCCCAACCGTCAGTTGAGACTGGAAATCTAACGTTTAGGCACACCACGTGACTCCACCTAAGATTCTAATCGATAAAAGATACCATAGCCTAACTACCACATGGATTCTATCCATTGATCACAGAGTCATCATACACTAAATGTGATCTAACACCTTAACCATACCCATATCTACCAGTTCTTACTCATACTATCATCATCGACCGGGCCTCACCACATGTCTTACCCAATCTATAATATCAAAAAAAATCCTTACCCACGGGTCTCAACCCATCTATACAATCAAACAAGCCTCACCCATAGTTCTCACCCAAATGACTCCTATACAAGCCTAAAACATTTTCATAGATTCAACAATCCTCATTCCAAACATAGAGTACTCAACCAACAATACAATCTGACTTGACCCAATCAAGAGTTGTGATTCTCTTACATTCCAATAACCACTCCAACAACGGTCTATCTCTTCCTGATGAAGGCTACGACTCCATCATAGACTTACAACACTTGTACAACAACATATCAACCTTTTGAATGATACGAGGTACCCCATAACAGCCTTAGGACCAGCCTATCGTCTTGCCCTCCATCTTCAATACCAAACCATGATCAACCATGATTCGAAACCACATCCGATTATACCCCAATCAAGTGTTCGGGTCATGCTCCGAACCCTAAATCCTTCATTAGAAAAGAACATGCAGAGAGTCTCTAACACAACCCTCAACCTAAATCTAATCTGCCATGCTCCATTGATGTGCAACCCATTTGAGCGAAAATGTTGTGAATTACAATCTCTTGTGCAAACCTCAATCCATATATCAACTAGAACTGGATCTCCACTTCACTAGGGTATGGAACTCCTCCTTGTTCCATACCTAGAATTATTCCAATAATTCAAACAGTTCTCCCTCACTTGGACTCATCTACGTTCTCCTAACCTTGCTAATGACAACGATGATAAACCATTTACCATAACGGATGTATCAGCAATCAAAAAATGAACTTGCCAAAAGATTGATGTATTCAGAGCATCTCTTGTTGGATTAGGTGTCTAAACCTATAACCATATGTACTTGAATTGATAATAGCACAAATCTTTTGGGTTGCCTTCATACTAGCAACTAGACACGATAACATATTAAGAGAGAGGAAGAATTTATTATTTGATTAATAAATTGTAATAAATGATTTATTAATACATTATGGAAATAATATATTAATTAGAAATCATATTTTTTTAATAAATATTTAGTTAGAAATTAATTTGGAATTAATTTTGGGATTAAAG